CGGTAAAGTCCTGTACTGTAAATATTGTGTCATTAAAGTAGGGTGTGAAAAACGGTTTAATGTTACGTAACACATTAATACGGACAAACACAAAAATGTACTTGAATTGAGAAAAGTACAACGATTGGTGAGTAATTCTAAAAAATCATCTATACTACTATATAAAATGAAATCGCTTCTTTTTGTTCGGGATAAACTCCGAAACTACTTATTCAATCTTCGTGCATTTTTGTTTAAATTAAAGAGGACATCATGGAGAAGGTTTTAGGCATAAATTTAGTCCGATAAAGTTAATTTATAATTAGTTATTATTAATTAAAATAATTGTATACCTATATATATTATTGTACATGTTGTGCGGCACGGCGGCCCACGGGTTTCCAGCTACCTGCAACCTGACGTTTTTGTATTGTGTTTGATGTCGGCGTTGTTCCGAGAAGTTTATCACATGTCTTTGAAAAGATCCTACTTATGGCCATATATAAAAATATTAGAACTTAAAAACTAATTTGATAGTGATATGTACAGATCAAGATAATATAAATTTTGTCAAGATTTACTTTTAATAGGCAATGGCGAATTTCAAGCAACGAATGATAAATAAATATTAAAATTTTCTGTAATTGAGTACCCATTATAACAAAATTGATTCAAAACGTGTACCCGAACATTCAAAATATATTTTCTAAATCACTGAAATGATTTCAAGAAAGGTCTATTTTGTCACTATTTCCCAACTAAATTTCTTAACTCTTTAACGCCTTCTGGAGTCCCACCACATACACTGATTTTAAAAATAGAGGCACCTATTATTTTAATGAAAAATTTGAGCCCACCCACACTTTACAACAGTACAAGACTACCAATAAAAAGTTGAGAATTTCATTAGTCGAGTGCATAATCTTAACGGGCTGTGGTAATGGAAAAACTGTTTTATTACCAAGAATACCAATTATACCCTCAAATTTACCATTTAAGTTTAAACGTATTCAATTCCCCGTTAAATTAGCATTTGCAATGATTATAAATAAAGCACAGGAACAAACACTTAACGTTGCTGGAATAGACCTAAACGTTCAATGTTTTTCTCACGGTCAACTTACGTCACCCTGTCACGTGTGACATCCAGATTTAATTTGTATATTTTTGCCCTTGATCCAGAAAAAGTTGATAACGTCGTTTACAAAGAAATTTTTTAAGTCTTTGAATTATCAAAATACTGGCATAATTAATATCTTTTGTTCCATCCATAGTTATACCTACAAAGTTTATATACACGAACTCTAATTTTAGCGCTTCGTACATTAAATCTATTAGATAAAAAAAATTTGCAAAAAGCATCAATTTTTCTATTGACACAACCGATATAAATTTTTTTCAACATTATGAAGAATCCGCGGTGGTGACGCTAAATTTACATGGCTACATTACCATGGAGACGTGACTAAAAGTGGTCTAAAATAAAAATAATCATCCAGAAAATAAATAGCAAATTAATATTTGAGAAATCTTGCAATGGCGAAGCATTGCCGGGTCAGCTAGTATTATATAATTGTATACAAATAGGTATTTTGAATTTTTTTATTAGAACAAAATAAAATATTAAATCAATACACATGTAATACTTTTCCTTTATTTATAAAAAACATTTTGTAGAAAAGTTGACAAAAATGTATAAATAACAATTCTAACAAAATATGACGTTTAAATATTTATGTAAATGACATATGCTTTTTTGACCCAACGGTTTTACCCCACAATAGATGGTTTCATATTATCAACAATTAAGTAAAAAGCATAAACAATGTTCCTCTAAATGATATCATTTAATAAACTTCACTAATTTTATCGTAATTTTACATAGTTCTCAATGATATCAAACAACATTGAGTATGGTAATTTTTAATCATAAAATATTTAAAAAAAAAAATAGCGATTACACACATTTCGTGATAATGGGAATTTGAGCGGGAATTTATTAAAATAATGCGGGTGATCAACAGTTATCCGTAACAATAAACATAATATGGTTCAAAAATGTATTTTTAACAATAAGTGTTAATTAGTAATAATGTACGTTAGGTACAAATGTGTGTAATTAAATGATTCGGTTTTCATAACGCGCATTTTTATTAAATTGAACAAAATACACACAAAGCTACGATTAAATGCACACTGACTGCTAGTAATATTACATTAGTGAACATATTGTTATCTACATTGCAGATTATAACTAAACTTTAAATTGTATAGCCGATAGGAAATCGGAATATCCAGACTACAATTTATGTACATTTCAAAAATATCAGTCGACTGTACAATTTAAAGATTATCTAGTGTTATCTAGAGTATTTACTCTACGTTTTAGTTATAATATTACCTGTTATATGTTCACTAATATAAGTTTTTACGGTTTTTCGTTGTTCTGTGTGTATTTTTTTAAAATATATACATTATATATATATTATACAAAATATACTCGGGCCGCAATTTACACACAAAATTTAAAATGGGACGCAATTTACAGCGACCCCCGGATTGAACCGGTGAGTTTCCGAAAAATCTCCGTGAGCCACGCAAAATTATATTCGTTATTAATCGAATTTATGTCATTTTGATAATATTTTGTATGATTTTGGACCTGCAAAAATTTTAAAACTCGGTGGACCGATATGCGTTCCCAATATCCGACGCTGTTTCTGTCGATACATACAATTTAAGATAAACAACAATCGACTAACGACTTTTAACGGTGACGAAACCACATTTAATCGCAACTTAGATTAACAACTGAACGCGACTATAGCTATATCTTTAATGCCCGGGACACGGGAAATTTAACGAGCTTTCGGGTTGTTTAGCGGAAAGTCATATAGATTCTAGAGTAGGATTTCCTATTTCCGTGTGGGAACAAACGACAAGCGGTCCGAATGGACGACGAACGTTTGTGAGAGTTTCCGTTTCAAGTATACAATATAATTATTATTCTATATACTATACAAATCTACACACTACACACATTTATACATTTTCAGAAACATTAC